TACACAAGATTTAACGGAGTTATACATTACAAATATTATATTATAAATTAAAGTTTGCTGAAGTACAAAGCAATGAAAGATAGGTTCAAGGTAAAATATCACGGCAATTAAAAACAGATTTAACATTGTTTTAACTTATGTTTTTATTTTGCAAAATATAAACAGAAGAGCAAAGCGAACAACGACCTAAACTTATGGTTATTTTTATTAACCTTATGAAATATGTACTCATGCTCTGTTTAAGGTAAGGAAAAGAGAGCTAACTCTTCTAAAATTTATTCTCTCGTAGACAAGCATATGGAACTTAAAAGAATGAAAAACATTTATACATTTGTTCTTAAAGTACAATAATATCTTTCAAAAATTACAAAAATGAAAAAAAAAATGCATTTTCCTTAGTTCTTCTAATCATGTTACGGGCAGTATGGATAGACTAAAAGTTGTGCTATAGCTTTCTTGAAGAAAAAGACAACTTGAAAGAAACCTTGCATAAATCTTTAAATCATATCTTCATATCACTTTGTAAATCAAATTGTAAGTCAATAGATTTTTTATTTGTGATGAGTCGATAAAATATAGGTGACAACTGCTTCTTCGCCAAGCGCTCGGTGCTTTGAAGTGAAAATTTCGGGTCCTTCAGATGAGACCTTAAAAACCGAGGCCCATTCTCACTCCAGACGTTGGCACGATAAAGAACCATCACTTCTCAATGGCCCTGGGTGCCTAAAAAGGTTGAAGTTCTGTACCAGTATATGGTGAGGTCTGTATAAGAGGTTCATTCAGTAAGTAATGCAACACACAGTATATCAGGATAAATGTTCAGGCATTTATTTATATTTTTCCACAGTTAAAAAATTCTGTTAAGGAGGTCTAAAACACAGAAAACCCCATACAATTTCCTACTGTCGTCGTAAAGAAATTCCTGTTCAAATAAGCATGGTCACTACACTGAGCGGTAAACTCTTTATAAATTATCTCTACCAAGAAGACGAAAATAACAGTGTATGTAAAAACAGTGCTTTTTACATGAATCGCAGAACTCATATTAAAGATATGAGTGTATGTATGTAGAAAAAAATATCTTTAATGCTGTACTTTTCAGATGGATTCAATAATTCAGAAGAAAAAAAGGAGAGTTAAAGATATATGTGCAAAATGCTAAATTTAAATGGAAAGACATCGTTCAGATAATAAACATTTAATCGTCACAGCATTTTGTGGAATTTTGACAAAGGAAAAAAAAAATAATATTTTTATCAGATAGGTGTCCTTTTTATGTTACAAATGCCTTAGAGAAAACATGCGTTAAATGTGACAACGGTCTATTTAAAAAAATGTTTTTAATAAATAAAAGATTTCTTAAAATTGCTTGATAAATGACAAAACATATGTGCACTTTTTAATAGCCAAAAAATAGGATTAATAATAAACATGTGGGATCAGAGAATAGGTTTCATTTTATTATGATAATAACAAGCAAGGACTCCAAACACGTTTTATTAGTTTTTGTGTATTCAGAGATGTCTATTAGAATATGTACATATATATCAAAATAAAGAACTAGCAATGGTAACTTTTATGTTCTAATAGCACTAAGTAAAGTTAAACAGATTTCCTGCAACGGTAGTCCAAAATTTGATGACCATGGAACTTTCCCTTTGGCCTGATAATGCAGTTGCATATAAGCTTATAGCAATAAATAAGATTTTGAAGAAAAGAAAGAAAACAAAATTTTTCCGACGCTCACGTTAGATAGATCTAAGCCATTGTGAGATCTTTTTATTCCCAAAACACATGAAATCAATCAAAGGAAGATTGTACAATGTTTGATATATATGTAATGGAAAATGATATTCGTCAGTTCCTTTGGGACATCCCTAAAGATGAGTATGCTGGAGATTTCTGTGCACGGATACAAAGTTAAATTTTGTTGTCTTGACAGTTAAAATTTAAAAATATTAACTATATACGTACTTTTTTAATTTTTAGATGACTTGTTGCTTTATTTGTTGAACGACCCTCGTATAAGTGAAACAACGTAAAACAACAATTAATCAATCAGAAAAAAAAACTCATAAGACATATTTCGTTTTTTTTTTTCAATTTTCAAATCTTCTTCTTAACTAGTAAAGGAATTCTGTATTCCCTATACTTTGCAATGATGATCATTATCTACAGAAAATCTTATTCAAATTTATCATACTTTAAATTTTCACTCAATTATATCTCGCAAGAAAATCAGGTATTAACAACAGCATGTTACTCAACTCGTTATACATGCTTAATGTGCGTCAAAATATTACCGGTCCATTTTAATATCACGAAGAATTATCAAGGCTATGCATGAAAATATTTTTTGAAAGTAATAATGATAGAAAAAGTTTAAAACTGATTTTTAAATTTAAAAAAAATGTAACCAGAAATTAATCTTGCAATATATTTTATTATATAAAAAAGACACGTGTGTTTCATATGCATAAGTATATTGAGAATTATATATATATAATATTTTTCTTTTATAAAAGATAAACATTCTTTTGATAGTCTTAAACATAATTATTTAGAATAAATAAAATTACAATAATGGCGTAACACTCACTACATGAATATGTATCTAAAATTATAAAAAATTAAATTTAATATAGATAATTTGGGGTATATTTAAAGTACATGTAACCATCACTTAATGGTTTTTTTTGGATACTATTCTTGAGATTCACGTGAATAATTAAAATGTAAATTAAGGAGAACTAAAAAAGGAAATATGAGTAAGTTTTATTTATTGTTCGTGTACATTACAGAGTTACAAACACATTAACCATTGTTTTGTACGAAACATAAAAAATATAAACGACACAGTCAGCATTCAACATCTATTTTTAGAACCAAAATGCACTTACTTGACTTAGAACTAAATTTAAAAAAAAAAGGTACTTCAAAACAAATACACATGTCAATAAATCATATTTTATTTTTTATTAAACATTAAATACACAATTAGAATGTACTAATAGTTGCGATCGGTATTCAAAATATTTATCACCGATATAGCTAATGCTAATATAAGTATACACTTTTCTTTTAAAAAGTCCACATTTTATTTGAGCATTCAGTTTCGCTCGATGCTTTTTTTTTCTCCGAAGAAAAAAGAAGCATTTCTACAGAAATAGAATTCAAAGTACTTCTATTGTAAATATTTGTAGAGTGATATTCTTTTTAAAATTTAAAAAGTACAAATGCGAACAAACAGTGCGCCTCGATAATATACCTGATTCAAAGAAATATAAAACGAGTCACGAACGCCCTCAAAGACCTTCCGTGGAAGAATCAAAATACAAAAAGGAAGAAAAATGATAGGTTAGCAAACAAGTTTTCGATTGATGTACATTTAGCAAAAGGATACTTGGCCACCCAAACTGGATTACAGATTTTTTTCAACTCCTTAAAACAAAAAAAAAAATCATCTACGAAAAAAATGAAAGATAACTGCATATACCTGGTTAAATGACTTTTTAGTAAACCAATGATTAGGTCACCTTTAAAATAATGTTTGGTCTCCTGACTCAGGGTGAAATATTTGGGTGGATAGGTAGATGGGATTTATTTCTGCCAGAAATTTTTTACATCAATGCTGATTTTTCAAATCTATTTTTACGTTATTGAAACATTGCTTCGGACCAATTTAGACAGTCGGAAGGGAGAGAGCAATCAGACAATCTTTGAGCAATAGACTAACCGAAATGATTTAAAGAATCATCTTAAAACATCACAGAAATGATAATTTTACAAGTAATTAAGCCTTATAAAAAAAATCATTGAGAGGCCTTGCAAAGCATTGTTTATATTACTGCACAAAATTTTACTAAAACGATAAACAATTATATATGAGTCGTTTTTTTTTATTAAAATAGAAAATATAAAATCTTTTAAAACATCAGGAAGGAAAAGTTAACAAGTTCATGTTTATAATTCATTTAATTTATTTTGAAAAAAAATGATTTATGTGAAAAGTTCATATCATAATTCAAACCGGGAAAAAAATTGCAATCGAATTTGCATAAATAATACGATTGCGAGATGTCGGCTATTTGTTTTACTTTCCTGTACTTCTGTTATGTTTAACAATGGTATGTGCAAAGCCACCGCCTGAATATCTTAACACATAAAGTGGTTTGTAATAATTTCCTATCATGATTTCAGTTTTCATAAAACGCGTTCATCGTTAACTTGATAGTGTCATTACAAATAAACCCTTCATATGTTAATTGTTTATTCTGGCATGATAAATGAATTGTCATCTCTATTCAAAAAGATATAATCCAGTTTCTTTGACTTCAAAGCAAAGAATGGTGGTTGATAAATTGTCCGAAAATTTTATTTTATACTTTTAATTTCAAATTTGTGTTTTTGCGTCTTTATAACACTTAGTTATCATAATATTGTTAACATTAATGAAGCAAGCATGTCAGGAAAACATAAATTCTTTTGGTTTCGCTCTTCTTAAACCAAGTTAAAAGAAAACAAAAAAATTGTTGTGGAAATTCTTCAAATTTCCTTTTCATTATATGAACTTTATACTCTTCGTGCGGGTTGTTCGTAGGGGACCTATCGGGAAGTAAATATTATGAAAGTTTGTGTATCGTACACATTTGAACCTAGTTGACACATTTTTCTTTCTTTGTAGACTTCAAATGCAGTAGAAGGACATTTAATAATTAAACCACATGTTATTCCGCAGCTTCAAGAATATCAAAACTTGATATTTCAATCTAAGATGTTTCATTTTATAAAAGCTTAGTATGTGGTTTGCAATCGTACCTGAATGCACTATTAATCTGACAATGCCCTTTCATACATGTATCGTATGACTACAGGTAATATCGAAAAGGTTTAGATGTAAGGTTCAGTTAAATACACTTCATGCTCTGAAGACAAGGAACTATTATGCGTTTTACGTCACAGCAGTAATTGATATAAATAGGGCTGCCGCCAAGGACGCTTATCATTTTGTGAGATTTCCTTCGACTAATTGTTAAATTTTATTTAATCTGCAATTCGTCTTTAAACATGGTCGTTTCAATGCAGAAATCTATGCAGTGTACTGTAGTGGGTGATGGATTTGTTGGAAAATCCTGCATGGTGCAGAAAATGGCGAGTGGTCAGTTTCATAAGGAATACATTGCCACTTTGAAAGACCACTACAAAACAAGCATATCTATCAACGGTGACCGTTTTGATATCAACATCACCGATATTGCTGGAGAGGTGAGCAAATTTTCAGTTTGAATTAAAATATAATAGAATCGAATTTTTTTAATTCTTATTTTTGTTTTTTTGACAGCAGAAGTAAATAAAGCATTTTTTTTTCTTTTTGTAGCATGAAGACCTATCTTCTCTGAAAATACCCGACATCTACATTGTATGCTTTAGTTTGGTTGACAGAGATTCACTGGATAGTGTAGAAGACTTTTGGATACCTAAAATTGAAGCACTGGAAAAGAACATTCCAGTAATTCTTGTAGGAACGCAGATGGATCTGAGAAAGTCCATGAAAAAAGGACACGTCAAGACTGAAGAAGGTCAGAAAATGGCTAAGAAACTGGGAGTCGATTATTATGTTGAATGTTCAGCGAAAGAAAACAATGGAATCCTTGAAATTTTTCAAAAGGCTCTGCTGGCTAAAGTGAGAAATGACAAGAGGAAATTAAATTTAATCAAGCGAATGCTGAACAGATGAACAACAGGGGACTCTTTTTCTTGAGAAAGTGAACCGTGTTTCACTGTTGGTAAAGCAAAACTTTTGCAGAACCAAAAATGCCGAGATGTTCAGAAAGTGGTTGCAAACCTGTATATTTTCTCATGATTGATAAGGAAAAGTATTGAGAGAGAAATACTCTTGTTCTTCATGCCGAATGCTTGTGAAAATTCAGCGAGCTGAAGATAAGACTTGTTTCTATGTCATTGTATGGTTTTTGCAGAAACCTTCAGAATCAAGAATTATATATATGTAACGAAAGACTTGACAGTATTTGAACTTCACGTGGAAGCTGCATATTTAGCAATTATCAGATTTTAAATGTTCTGTTATGAATATGTTACATCGAACTAGCAAAAATAAAGATTGAGGTAATGTGACTTGGTTTTAGATTGTTTGTTTGAGAACACAGAAGTTTGTTCTACGCATGTTTGCTTCATTACAAATTTAACGTGAAGAATCAGAACAAAAATGATAACGTTAAATCCTTTACTGCTGTGAAGAAATATATATACCTTAGGTTTACATTACAATCTAGTATAAGTTTGCCACAGTCGAAAAATGCTCAAGGTTACCTTATGCTATAAAACTTACATACCCATGTAGATGTAAGTGGCGTGTGTCATTATCCTTGAAACCCGATTATCGAATGCATTTTGTCAAATTACTATATTACTTTACAAATAAACTTACCTAGAAGCACCAAAAAAAGGACTCAAGCGTCTCTTATTTAAGAAACACATTGCTGATCAGGTGCCTCTTAAATTGTCCGTTTATAGTATTTAAAGATCTTTTGCACATAAATTAAAACTTGTGAATAGATTTGATGAATTTTCAAAAGCCCCTACTACAATGTACATGTACACATGCCTTTAAACATTCCTTACATGATTTTGAGATAAAATCTGCAAGATGATAAATTTAGATATACACACTGTTAGTAGAATAAAAGGCTTTACAGAATCCCTTTATTAATTCCTGGTATCTCTCCTTGACTTTTGGGCGTTATCGATGTTTGCAAGCTTCAGCAAAATAAGTTCTGCACTTTTGGCTTTTCGTGTCAGAGCGACCTTCTGTCTACGTAAGAGGCACCTGTCAAAGGTATATGCTGTTCTGTGACGGGTACCTGTTTTTTATACCCCTCTTTGTTTCATGAATTTTGTGTACTTTAACTTTATGGATATCTCAACAGAATCTGTTTACCGGTGTTTCAAATTACAGACTGAAGGATTCTTTACATTTCAGTAAGAATAAGCAATGAAACAAAGTCGCTGTTGTTCCTCTACCTCTGGGGAATATTCTTGTAAGGTACGTGTATAACTGTGCACTTTGTAAGGGAGAAGTGTTGACTTAAACATTTTTTTCTGTCAATTTCAATGTATAAACGTATTATATAAAACTTGAAACAGCCAAGAAAGGGATACACGTTGCATTATTGCCAATTTTGAAGTTTTATAGAGGAATGCGAAGCGCATCCAATACTAGTATTTCCATAAATATGAAACTTGCTTTAGTCAGTAGATACCAGATTCCAATAATAAACATTACATACATGTGTAGAAAAATAATGAATTGTTTCAGACCGCGTTATGTATTTTGAATTACTGATCAATTTCACACTAGTATGGTGAATCAAATAGTTATTTAAAAATAAATCACTATTAGTTATGCTTTCCAGCATTGTCGCAAATTGAGTATATGAAGATAAATACAATTTTCCCAGCAAAAGTATTTCATTTTTATAAAAGCTGCATACCATCGAAGTAAAGCAAGGGAACTGAAAGATTTCTATTAAGAATGCACATACTTTATTTTCATATGTTTGTATTTCTTCCCAGGTAGCATATATTTCAATTCCAAATTTATTACTTTACGTGTATCTTTTGAAATGTTAAATAATAATTGTCAAGATGGTGATAGTTCTAAATTAATTTAAATTATAGCCTAGCAAAATTTACAAAGCATTAGTCTCTTCTGATAATATTTTTCATTTATGTATTATAATCTTCTTAATTCAATCAAGAACATGAAAAATTGCAAGAATTTTTTTTACATATCATATATTATAATATTCTTAATGCAGAAATATAAATCAAACTAATTGCTTGATTTTTCTAGTACATTTCCAAAATTAACGTTGACAATGTATGTAAAATGTGAAAAATTAAGTTAATAAGATTGATAAGCCTGAAGAAAAAGGTAAAAATTGTTTTATGGGCATGTGGTGGCATTATTAACATTATTATTTTCATAAAAAATATCTTACTCAGAAATTGGAAATTTAAATTTAAAATATCGTACAATGAATTTATGAAGGACAGTATATGTTTTTGATTTGAATTATTTCATAATAGCAATTTGACATAGATCCATTTATAATAATTCTTTGGTACGTGATTGTCTGCCTTAAATATTTTAAAACCTAGACTGTTCGGTATATTTTTGCTAGAACAGGTTAAAACAGGCAAAAATTTCCGAAATGATAATCGAGAAAAATATAAGGAAAATAATAATAAGGATGTTATTGAAAATATTTTTGGTACCAATTATTGATAACGTATCATAATATTTCCTTACATTATAAATTCGAAACTTAACTTAAATGTTCAACAGCTCAGTTTCTTCTTATTTTCTGATGAACAGTATAAGCCACTTTTATTCTTTAAACATTTTGGGATGTCTTTTTTAACATATTTTCAACTATCAGATTTGTTTCATATCGTAGAGGTTAATCTATCATAATTTTGACTTTTGGGAGAGCAAAGGACAACATTCTATGTTGCAAACAATGTTGATATTCTTTTTTTTCAGATAAAATGTCATTTTTGTAAAGCGAAAGGTCACAGTAAAATATAAGTATATTTACAAGTTATTCAACTTTGCATTGTACACTTTTTAATAACGAATAACAGTGTTCCCCCATCTACCCTCCCTGGGAATAAATTAACAATATATGCTTGCAATGAAAGAGATACTACATGTATACCGGTACCAAGAAACCAATGCCGATTTCTCTTTTGAACAGTGCATTTTATTTCAGTGAAAATATTAAAAGAAATGCAGACAAGAAAGACCAAAAAGATTCTTTTATAACAGCTCTTTATCATGGATGCTTAAAAAAAATAAGTTTTAAAATGCACATTAATTTGTAAAATGAAAATGCTCGATTATACAAAACCATCAGATTAAAAAGTAATTAATGGGTAGTTAAGTTAAACATGAACATAATTATATTTCATATAAACGTGACCAAAATTATTACAATGATATCATTCAGTCTACACTACTTATAAAGCATATCATCAACTTAATGTAATAATATTTGCTGTAATTATAAAAACGTGATTCATTCTCAATTGAAAACGAAAAAAAGAACCATGCTTGAAGTGGCTTTCCTTTATTTATGGATCATGTCTTTGAATATACAAATGTAAATGCTTTCATTTTGTAGAATACCTCTGATATATCTTTGTTCGTTTTATTTTAAGGTTTAAAATTATTTTGATAACTGTATGGAATGTAATTGCGTTACATTGAATATTAATCTATTCTAATATCTAATCTATGCTATTTCCATTTTTATTTTAAAAAAATGAATATACTGAGTATCAAAAGTTTTATATACATTCTATATCTCACATTCATAATCATAACTATCATTTATGTGGTCTCTCTCTCTCTCTCTCTCTGTCTCTCTCTCTCTCTCTCTCTCTGTTCTCTATGTTTTTCTCTTTAAGCACTCTTTTGTTAACATTGAAATTACAAAACAAGAATTATAACTTCAATGTGTTCATTCTGGACAACAACAAAGTCAGATATATTTTTAAAAAATAAAACATAGATTCATATTATTAAAAATACGAACATTTTGTATTTATGAAAAAATCAATTCAAAGAAATTAATTTGACTCATTTAAGAAGACTTTGAAAAATATACACTCGGACTGTAAAAAAAACTTTTACACTAAAAATTAAAGTCAATAAAAATAGCATCACAAGATATAGAGAAATGGACATAGAGTGACCAAGTGCTTGAAATAAAAATCCTATCAGAAAGGTTCAGCAAAAGGCAATTCTAGAGTTCGTGAAACTTTTCCTACATCTGTACTTCAGAAGCAATTGATAGACATTTATAGTTTTAATAATGTGTTCCCTTTCCCACTTGTGTCAGTTATTTCATAGCAAATTAAATGAACCATATACATGTATGTCATAGAAGATTTGTGGCAATTTAGGATGTAAGCGATATATTCTTAAAGAGTTTGTTGTCAAAACTTTAATGGAACATCTTAATTGAATTAATTGAAGTGGCAATGAAAAGAAATATTCTTTTAATAAAATTGTTTAAAATGCATTCAATAGTGAGAAAATTTGTTTATAACACATTTACATTTAAATTCATATCCCCGTGTAATATCATATGACATTCCTTTAATAATTTAAGGGTATGTATCGTTACTTCTAACTTTGAACAAAGATGTAAGTTTCTACACTTTAAGGTAGCTTTTGTGTTTATGGCCTTGTCTCAGTTGCTCTTTATTACAGACACCTGTTACGCGCACTGATTGATGTGTGACGAGTACCTCTTTTTCTTTATCATAGACACCTGTTTCGGGTACCAGTTCATGGGTGACGGGTACCTGTTCTTTTGTGTTCCACTCTATCCCTCCACTGTACTTTAACTCCAGCCGATAACAATCTAAACAGAATCAAGTGATTCCTGTTTACAGCATCGGGTGACATCATTAAAGATTCTTTACATTTCATCGATAATAAACAAAGCAACAGAGACGACATTGTTCCTTAACCTTGCCGGACATTCTTTCAGGTTGTAATAGTGCAAACTGTCAAACTTTGAGTGTTACTTGAACAGTTATTTTCCATTCATATTCCCAGCCTCACACAATGCCGTCGATGGGAAGATAACTTTAATCTTGCTGTCTGCATGATAGTTTTTGTTTAAATTTTGACATGAAGGACTTTTTTGTTTATCTTTCATTCATATATTTTACGATTTAAGAAAATATTTATGTGTTGAAGAGGATGGATTTAATTTCAATAAGCAGATATACGATATCAAGGACTAGTCCCTCATTTTTTTTATATAAACATTTTATTTTTATAGATAAACAAGTAGATTATTACATTGGCAATGGGATAAATCACGTAGGACTTATTTGTTGATTTAAAACAACACTTAAAAATAAATATCAATTACGAATACTAGTCGAGCTTATCCGGTCGCCAAGCTAATGTCTCTACTCCTGTTGTCTTTTTATTTATTATGATTATTGTGTAATGACATGATTATGATTAGGAATTTTCACATACACTCTGAAGAATACTCCTAATATTCAGTAGAGGAAATCATTTTA